TGTCAAACCTAGCCGCTGGTCTTTAAACATAATGAGCCTAACTTACTAATACTGAGTCTGGGGTTACATAAGCAGTAACAAAACAAAAACAGTTTCTGTTTCTAAGTCTCAGCAATGAGTAAGGTTGTATTTCTGGTGTAAGCGAACTAACATTTGTTTTCTGTGAAATGCGCGAAATGTTGTATTACACAGTCTGTGGTACCATGATGCAGCACAATTCACTGTTGCATGTTACACCATGGATGATGTAGAGGAAGATGAATGTAATGGCTGAGGTGGAGGACCTGTAATGACACCAGAAAATAAGAAAATGTGTAAAAGCTTTATTAAAAGTTTAGTCCTGAAATTCTCATGGTAATCCAGGGAAGCAGGTTGGTGCATGGTCAGGGAACAGGCGTGGGTCAGGGCCAGATAAACAGCAGGTTCCATCCCAGCTCCAACCAGAGAGTGCTGCTGTTGTGTCCTTGGGCAAGACACTTAACCAACTTTGCCTGCTGTTGGTGGTCGGAGGGACCGGTGGTGCCAGTGTTCAGCAGGCCCGCCTCTGTCAGTGTGCCCCAGGGCAGCTGTAGCTACTATCTGGCTTATCACCACCGTAAGCATGTGAAAAGGGTGTGGCTGTTGTGTAAAGTGCTTTGTAGGCCTTGGACTTGATAAATTTCAATAAATGTGCAAGCCAATTACAATTTTTTTCAATTTGTAGGTGTTTCCCATTTGCTGTATAACCAAATACAACTTTTTCTGTGTTTTTTGTTGTATTTCTTTAGACTGGTTCCATCCGAGAAGTTACGAGAAACCTTATGGATTTACTGAATGCTCATCTACAAGCAGAGGGCCCGCAACAAACACCAACTGTGCCACAGCGCACAACACCAGCGACAACACCTTAACAGACTATCCCTCGGTCTACAGTTCATCAAGAAATGTCAAGGTAAGTTAAGTGTAGAAATGTAAATATTTGACATCTGCATTGGTCTATTCAGTGGTTTGAAATTAAATTATTCCAATGATGCTTTATTATTCATCTTAGAAAGAGGCTTTCTGCAATTGACTGTATTTTTTTTTTTACATAGTGAAATTAAATTCTGAAATAATGTAAGCAGTGTAGTATAGGCTACAGCTAGGGCTGGGCAATATATAGATATTTTAAAATTATAAATATAATTTTTAACGAGAAACAAGATGACTTTGTATTGATATAACTAGTCAAGCCACATAAGCTAGCAACTAGCTTGCTCCGTCTGTAAGCGGTCATTTCATGTATTCTCACAAATCTGCTCAATCAGAAAACCTCTGGGTCAATGTTCTGCCCTAAACTTTGCATTTGGCTTCATGGTTTTTAATTATTTGGGGATATTCGTTCATGTTTCATCAAGCCTGTTCACCGTGGTTACCAACGGAGTTCTGTTTACCCCTCCCTCCCTCGTGTAATTGGGAAACCACTACAGAGAGCCGGAGTGGCCAAATTACCTCAAACATGTTGTAATGGCTTCAACTGTAAACGTTAGGGTTAACATTTAATTTTGAAGGTGAGTTCAGCGCTAAAAGTTTTTCTGGTTCCGGTTTTTGATGCTTTGCTATGGTCGGGGCTCAGCCACGTGAGTTCGGAATAGAACGGGTGGTTTCTTGTTCACATGTGATTCCCAGGGCTTCTCAGGAATGCGGAAATCCCCGAGCATGTGGGCGGCGGTAAAGACGCGCGGAAGAAGTCTGCGGTGTCCGCCTATGCTAAACAATAATTCCTCATCAAACCGCTGCACCAACACACACTGCGCTTCTCTAATAATCTGCTCTCCTCTAATCCTTCCTACTTCAGCGCTGTAGTGTCCTCCGCTGCAGACGTGTCCTTATAACCGCTGCTACACACACACACTGCTGTCCTCCTCTGCTGCAGAGAGGGAGACAGCAGCTCAGTGCTTCATGTGGGCTAAACAGCAACCAGGATGAAAAGTAATCGCATATGCGGAAACCCCCCGGTGTTTGATCCAACTCCCCAATAGGAGGCGGTAGGTGTGAGTTTCAGCTGCCAATCAGTCCATAGTGTCTGCTCGGCACCAGCCGGACCTCCGAGGGAAGTAGTCTGAAAAAAAAGTCTCCTTAGAACAAAATACACACATGTGAGCCATATGTGAACAAAACATTTGGTTCCGAACGCGTCCATGCCGACCCAGATGTGAAAGCGGCTTAAGTGAGGGAAAATACTAATATGGGACGACTGTGAGAATAAGGAGTAAAATAGTTTAGTTTTAAAAATAGTTTCCAGCTCAAAACAGGAGACAACAGGTGTGATCCTGGAATTGTGGATGAAGTCTGTCAGTGAAGCTCTTGGGATCACAGCTCCACCTCTCAGTTCAGACTCCACAGAGCTCCTAGTGTGTGAGTTCTTGTTCTCTTCTGTACTTTTAACGTTAACGCAGGAGAGTGTTTGCTGTTGTATTTCAGTTATAATGTGAACAACCACACAAAACATTAAATTTACTCAAAAATTCTGAATGGATTTTTAAGACCTGCCGTGTGAACGTAGCCTTAAGCCTGATTCATGCTTCTCCGTCTGCGTCAGTGTGGAGACACGCAACGTCCTTGCGTGCCTGCCGGAGAGCTCCGCAAGGACGGACGGAGTCAAGCTCTCTTTTCTAAACAGCCGTCAGTCGAGACGGACAACGCAAGCTTGTGATTGGTCAGGATGCCGCTGTTGTTTACAGCTCCGCCATTGCACCCTCAAAAACATAAAGAGAGCCGAGGATAACAAGCGGCAGACACGGAGCAGCTTGAAGAATACCTCGCGAAAAAACTCTAAAAACATGAACTTTTAGTTCCCCTGTGACTGGAGGAGAGAGAAGATGCGCAGCAAGCGTTTTATTTGTGGATGGAAATGACAGGAAACGTGGGTTCAGAGGTGGCGAGCGCATGAAGAGGTGGAGGAGAATGAGAGACAAATATGTCCGTGTTAAAAGTCTCTTATATACACAAAAAATACAATATAAACACATTATCTTGGACCAATACATGACAGGATACCACAGAACAGCGCTACGCCCTCTGTTGTCCTGCCGAGGAATTGCTTTGCAACACTCTCCAGGAGACGGAGAAATATGAGAGCAAAACACTTCCGTCAATCCGTGCGTGTCTGTCCCTTGCGGAGCTGAAGGAGAAGCATGAACCAGGCTTTAGACAGCATGTTTCTTTGTACATAAGCCGTACCATAGACATCATTGGCTGCTGGAGAGTAACTGCTTCACCGCCATATTGAGTAGGTTTCTAACTCCAAAACCCAATTTGAATCCAGTCATTGGAGCAACTATGCCTGTTTTTGTGCAGCTCACAGTTCCAACAACCAGCAGTTACATCTGCCTGTAAGCTTTGTTTGTTAATAAAGTTATATAAAAATAAAAAAAAACTGTTACGTCACGATCTCCTTGCTTTCTACAGGAAGTTTAAAAAATTATTTCAATAAAGATTGAAACACAAACATGAAGCTAAATGAGGAGCTCTATGAACATACTGAACGCCGCTTTAAAAGATACTGAATGTGAAATATGGCATTTCTCTACTGCTGACTGATGAAAGGGAGTCCGATGTGCCTGTTGTCATTTTGCAGGAGGTTGAACGATCTGACAAGGTAGTTAGCCCGTAAAAAAATTGTGCTGCAACACTCCCAGTGCTTTTTTTGTGGCCTTTATGGCTATTCATTGGTAGACTCCTCACGGAACACAAAAATGTAGCTTGTTTGTTATGATTTAGGTACGTACTGCCCCCTAGTGGCAGAAAACTACAGACTGTCGCTTAAAGAAATAGCATAAAATGGCCAGGGATGCAATTCAATATATATTCTCTTCTACGGTTTTAAAATTTTGAAATAATTATCTATCGATCGATTAGATTTTTTTAAATTAATATGCTTTTATTCATCAACCAGCCCTAAAACCTACTAAAGGTTAAACATTTTAAATTGCAAACTGTACTTAATTACGGTGATGCAAGTAAATGACAATTACACCCCTGCAAAATAGTAAAAGTTCTAAATCAAAACCATTTTGAATTTTTGTTATTCTTGTCCCTGCTATTTGTAATTTTTTTTTATCTAATTTTGACATATATAATCCTGCACAACAATGTGATAATTTGGTTTCTATTAAAATTTAGGAAATTTTGCTTATTTGTTGACAAATTGCAGCTCAATATAGAAACATCATCATTGTTCTCTTGTTGTAATGTCAGGATTTCCAAGAGCCAGACATCGACTGGGATGTTGCTGCAGAGTACAGCCCAGATGTGGACGGTGCTGCTGTGGTCCCGGAGTTCGACAGTCCCCTCACTGAAGAGCAGCATGCTGAACTGCATCCATGCTTTCGTTCTTTTTTAAACACAGAAACAGTTTTGTTTACCTGTTAGTAGCTACAGTTTCGCCGACGGCTGCCGGCTTCTTCAGGCTGACGCTGTTGGTGGCGCGTCACTTCCTTCTCCGTTTATCTGCGGGCAGCAGAGACAACTGCCCGCAGATAAACGGAGAAGGAAGTGACGCGCCACCATCAGCGTCAGCCTGAAGAAGCCGGCAGCCGTCGGCGAAACTGTAGCTACTAACAGGTAAACAAAACTGTTTCTGTGTTTAAAAAAGAACGAAAGCATGGATTTAGAAAGACACAGCAAGAACACACCTAAGATGCTGAACTGCAGTTGCTTCTGGCACAAAATTGGGAGCGTTCAAACACTAAGGAACTTTATCTATTGTGCAGAGAATATGTTTATGCTGCTTTGTCAGATTAATGTGTACTTGAAATAAAAAAATCAAGAGATCAGTTCCAGTGCTTTTATTAATGTTACAAAAGAAATACATAACATGTATTTGAAATGGCAATAAGCCTAACTTTATGGATTCATGTAACAATGTCGCTTTCTAGCTCCAAAACATTACATTATTTAACAAAACCATTTGTCTTTTTGGATTCAAAGTTAAATTTGAACCATTATACAGTAAGCTGAACCCAGAACAGTGACCATCTTGTTTTCACTTAATGTCTGCTAAAATCAAATCTATCACAGACTGCCTGAGTAAGCTGACTTTCAAAGTCAGTGTATGTAGTAACGTGCCATGTAGGTAAGGTGATTAAGTGTGGTCCATACCGGGTGGTACTGTCGTGATCAACATTTAGTTATCTTGTAAAATTCTCTTTCTGTGTCTGTTAGTGGCACATGTGCCTGGCCTGAAACCCACTGAAAAAAATCCTTGCACTGACAACTGCTTTGCTCCACAGCCATCTGATGGGCTCCCATCTTGGTCATCTGTTCCTGAAGGGTGAAAAAAAAATCTGTGTGTCACTAACATGATTGAGGTACTGATTACCTCTCTGTAATTAAGGTGTAATGGCTAAATCAGTTTCAAAACAAATATATTTATAATTTATTTAAAAAAAATTTTATTTGATGGGGGATTGGGTGAAACACAATGGTCTCTCTGACACTTCAAAATTTTCTCAATCAATCAATTTTTATTTATGTAACACCTTCCACTGCCTTTACAGGAGCCCAAGGCGCTGAACATAAATTTTAAAAAGAGCTAAGCATTATGAGCAGTAAAAGTGGAATGATCCTGCATGGTTCTGTGGCTACCTCCTTCTTCCAGGTTTTGCAAGAGGTCCTGCAAAAAGTTGATCATGTCCACTTCCTTTGTGTCTTACTGATCCATTGTCACTGTACTGAGGAGCCAGTGCCTCCACAACGAAGTCTGCATCCACCTACAAAAGACGTTTTTAAAAATACTGTGAATTAAAAAGATAAAACTGTTAGGGCTGCTTCTGCTTATCCTGCAGAGCTAAATTAATATAAGAAAATGAAGATGTATACCACTAAAAAATATGTAAAACTTCATTGCCATGATATTAGAATAAAAAAATACATCTGATAGCTTCCTTAAAGAAAACTTAAAATTGCTGTCTGTAAAAAAAATGATAGCTGTAAAAAATAAATTGGGGCAAACAATGTTAAACAGATTCTTGTACTTGTGAATCGATTTGATTCTTAGTATTTTTATAAGAATCGATTAGAACTGTTGATGGAACAAAAACAGCTTCAGCTTCTCTGCATTTTCTATATGTTTTTATAATGGACATATTTTTTTTGCAGAGGCCTAAAGAATTTGTACTTACCTGTTTAAGGTTCCCAGGAAGAAAGAGGGGCTGAAGTGCCTGGTGGTGTTGTGGCAACAGCTCATCCAAACCCTAGATGGCCAGTCCTTCTCTAAGCTGACTTAGCATCGGTATGAGTCTCATCACCGAATGCAAACTGATGGCCCTAGTAAAAAGAATAATGAACTTGTAATAACTCAATTTTCAAAAATTGCATGACTTGTTTAATGCTACATTAACATAGCCTACTCAATGATGGCCTTTTTGCGATCGCTGTGAATTGGACCGGTGTAGCCACATGCTACAATGGCATCAGAAAGGTCTGTCAGTGCGTCTTCTTCGGCACGTTCGACCTTCAATCAGAAACACTTGTTAGTACAATTTACAGAAAATAAATTATTCTGTTTAATTTACCTCCTGAATCAGGTTCTGGATTTCCTTATCAGTCACCTCTGGCACATCTTCATTTGTTATTTGTCCATGACGCAAGAAATGGTAAGACCAAGTAGAAAAGAAATTCGGTGCTGGTCCTGCTTGAACCAAGCTGGTGGCATTGATCTCCCCACAGATCCTGAACACAAAACAAGCCAAGTTACACTGTAGAGCAGCATCATACTGTACATACCTGTATCTGTTTTTCTGGTAGTAAGAGATACTATATTTGGGGTTTTGCCTTTGCATGAAACTCCTTCAAATAAGTTCAACTCAAGGCCTCGCATCATTTCTATTGGGAAAAAAGAAATGACAGTTTGCCATTTTCAACTATATTCAAAGTTGGTATGTTGACATTAGCAAGGAATACATATCAGTTAGGAACTCTCGGCGTAGTGCTCCTTCATCAGTGCCGTGTTCTCCAATAAAGGAAACAATTAGCTGGTTTTTGGGGAAAGCCTGTTTCTGTCTGGCCCGCTGTTTCAGACCTCTCTGGTAAAGGTCGTCCCTTGTCACATTAATGTTAAAGGTTTTAGTGTTGTCAACTCTTTCTTGTAGGAACTTCAGGATGTCTGATAAGCTATTGACAACAACATTGTGTTTATTATTATTTATTTTAAAACCTACACATTAACACAAATGTTTGTAAAAATTCTAACCAGCTTAAGTGCTTGGAAGAGTCATCCACATCCAGTATGATGCTGTTCAGATGTGGAAACAAACAAAAAAAAAAGATTAAACTCTCATAACATATTGTGTACAACGTGCATGGGTAAAAACATGCACCTGTCCTCTTCCTCCTTCACCACAAAAGCTGGCATGACTCCTGAGTAAATTCTTATCACACAATGGACAGGAAACCTATTAAAGACATTTTTTTAAATCAGTGACCAACAATCATTGTTAAGTAAACAATAATGATTAACATGAAATGTAATTAAAATATTCTGTATATTGCTAACGTGCATGTTTGAAGTTTGATTTAAAGGGATATTCCACCCTAAGTGAAAATTTGTCTACTGTCTAAATTGGCTCCTGCAAATGTGTTACTTCTTACTTTTCATTTGCAGTCAACATGATTATTGAGCTCAACAGGAATAACTGGTATCATAATTTAGTAATTTTACAGTTTTGCACACAAAATGCTACTACCTCCCATTAACTTACATGGTTTATTCTCATCTAAAGCAGACAGACTGCTGGCAGATAAGAATTACTGCGCTGGTTAAAACAATCCTTTTTCATTCACTTATCCAACTCTGGGGAATACGGCACTAGAAAACATTTTTGGATCTTTCCCTGACACATATCTAGCCCCTCATAACTCGATCCCAGTTCCTGGATAAAACACCGGACATTTTATTCCATGTAGGACCCTAATCCACCTAGCTATGTGCCCATGTTGCAATATTAAATGTGAGGAGTCGTAAAAAGTAGCATAACAAAACAATTTTATGGAATAAACTGCAGCTAGTAGCCTTCAAAAATAACTTACTTGAGCGTCTTGTTGGTTCTGGTCAAGGGCGTCAGTTTGTTTTCAGACTTGCTGGGGACAATAACCATACACTTGAGTGGGGTTTAAAAATTGCTGGGGACAATAAAGTAGGCTAGCACAGGTGTCGGCAACCCGCGGCTCTGGAGCCGCATGCGGCTCCTCCATCCATCTGATGAAGCTCTCTGTGCTTGTAAAATAATGACTGGATATTTAAATAAATGCTTTATATTTTACTGCATTAATTTTACATCTGTAAGCCAATTCTAAATGTAAAGATTGTCTGCGTAAACCTGAACAGGTCCAACCCGGTCTTACTGTGTGACCGGGTTGACGCGTCACGCTTGTGCGTAATCATATCGGCGCTTCCTGAGCTGCTTTCTGACCTTCCCCACCTACAAAGTTTAATTACACCAATCTAACGTGACAGAGCCTGGATTTGTATTCTGAACAGTCTAAACATGTTTTAAAAAGAAACGTATGACAAAAGTGGCACCTGCTCAGTAAAATATTATTGAAGGCAGAGACGGGCTACAGCTACTGGATCCACTTTATTTAATCGTTTTATTGATTATTGTCTTATGAAAGATAACTTTGACGTACACGAGCGACCAGGCGCGTTGCAAGCTTTTCAAAAGTGTGGGGGATGTTGTCTGTGCCTAAAATAATTTCATGTTATTCATCTTGTTAGTTTAATTTCCATAATAGCGGAGCAGGTGCAAATTTTAGACGCGTCACGCACGTCTCCGTTTTAAACATGTTTAAACTGAATACAAATCCAGACTCTGTCTCGTTAGATTGGTGTAACTAAAGTTTGTACTGAATGAAACTTTACATTAAACCATGTTGAAAAGAAAAGGATCCGATTAAATCGTTTCCCCCTAACAGTCACGGACTACAGCGCAGTGCGCGTGGCTCTGGGGTTAATCAGGTTTAGTTGTTTCTCTTTGCAACAATCTTCACAAGAAGGCAAAAGAGTTAAATGGCAGGTTACAGATATTTCTATTTGACTGTTTATTTTGACGGATAAACTCAAGGATGTTGGTTGATTTCCTCCCACTGAAGCGGTCTGGAAACCCGGTCTCTCTGAGGGATGTGTCACTTGGAAAAATGTTATTTTTATGAAATTATGAAACTTTGGCTGAATAGCGCTTGTTCCTGTCTCCAATATGGAGACGCATGACGCATCCAGTCGCCTCTTCAGCTCATAAAACACCTGTAGAGACATTTGATCACGCACAAAGTTCATGTGGAGCAGAAGCGGTCGGGCCACGGCAGGTGAAACGTTCCTAGCCTACATGAAGTGAAACTGTTTAATTGTAACATTAATATGTTACTGGACACGCTGGTCTGGTTGGTTAGACCAGTGTTTGAAGTGGAAAACAAACACACACACACACACACACACACACACACACACCAATTAAAATAATGCTGATAGCGTGGATAGAAGACAGGTGATGGTTTACGTATTTAGATGATGATCAGGCTGCTGTAAAATGTAATCTCCATCCACATCCAGACACAATTATCCTCTATTCTTTCTCTAGTACTCTGCTCTTGTCTGGGCTGACAGCTGACGGTGTGCGCGGTGCGCCTAGCGGCTGATGCACATTTTACGCATTTGGAGAGGTGGGCTGGATGCTTTGCTTTTACTGGAAGATGGTCCACTTAACGCACGGGTGTAGACTACATATTAATGACAATCGAATGAAAATTAAATTGGGAGTTTTTACTTCATATTTTAGAAATAAAAATGACGGGGGAACACATTTATGACGTCTTTTTAAACAAAATTTTCTAGCGCGACCTGCCTGCTTCACTTAAGTCTCTGCTTATCCGTCCGTCCAAAATTACCGTGGCCCACCCAAAAATGAAAACCTGGCGCTGTGCCTGTTATAAACCTCTGCAAATTATTGTTCTTCACTTGATCAAACTCAGACTTTGTACAGCTAATGTCAAGATGTAAAATTATGAATTCAGTCGAGCTCTTCCGTCCCTCCTTCTCCTGCTCTCCTTGAACACGACATCGGCTGTCAGAATAGGGGAGGTGAAGAAGGAGATGAGGCAAACAGAGAGAGTGCGACCTAAAGAAACCAGACTGGAGTGGAGGTGAGCAAAACAGCTGGAAAAGTGTGGGTGTTGAATCCCCCACGGGTGCGACGCCCATGGTACCGGCTGCTGTCACCTGGTTGTGAGCAGCTCTCTGCTGTCTGAGGGTAGGCCCCGCCCACAACGCTGCGCTGCTGCGGCTGCCAGTGTTTTCATTACTGTGGGAAACGGGTAATAATGGCTCTTTGATGGGAACAGGTTGCCGACCCCTAGTATGAGATCTGAGCTGGTAAAACAAAAATCCTCATCAGCAGGATTTTTTAAAAGTGGGGGGGACACAGCTGCCAATCACAAATTTTGCCGGGGACATGTCCCCGGCGTCCCCGGTTAAAATGACGCCTATGGTTCTGGTCCATTTTGCTGGTGCAGGTGAAACTCTCGCTCCAGATCAGGGCGGGTATTAGCCAGGCTGTTAGTGCACAGATGCGGCAGCCACACAGGAAAATCCACAGAGCGCAAAACGAGCGCACCCCAAAGAGGTTTGTTCCCGCCCAGTCCCACAAGTCTTTCTATTGGCTGAGCGGTTGCTAGGAGATTGTACTTCTAAGTTTTGAGCGAGAGCAGACAAGATCCGTGAGAGCAGGGGACAGACTTGTGGGAGGAGTTTTGATCCGTGTAGAGAAAAAGTTGTCACATGAGAAGACAATACCAGTGTAAGAAGGTTAAATCTGAGCGCAAAAACAAAGATTTGAAGGAGAACAGAGTGAATTTGAAAGAGAGCAGACATTTTGAGCGCAAGCATTACAAGTTTTGAGAGCAATAATATAAAATAGTATTCTGAAATTAAAAAGATGGTCTCTTGATATGAAATTCTGCTCTCAAATTGAAAGTTCAACTGCTCAGTTTCTGGCACTTTAATTCTTCCACGCCTCCAGAGTGCCAAAACTCCCAACAGCCGAGCGAGCAGAATCAGAAACCGAGCGCGCAGAAAGGCTGCCACACCTGCAGTGAGGCTGCCGCACCGAGCGCGCAGTGAGGCTGCCGCGCGCATGTTTTCCTCTGCCGTGTGCTCGTTGGCCAATGAGCGCACGCAGGTTTGTCACTTGTGCACATCCTTGTGTGCTCACAGACACAGTTTGCTCCCTCTCAGTGTACAAATGACCTCCTCGCCATGTATATTTTCACTCATGAGGTTCTAACCTCCACGCGCGAGTCCCGTTCGCACGCGCGATGTGCACAATACGCGTGCACGGGTTTTGGCTACGCTTGCACGGGTTTTGGCGGAAACCTGACACCATAGAACTGAGTTGATATTTTAAATCGTGTGTGTGTGTGTGTGTGTGTGTGTGTGTGTGTGTGTGTGTGTGTGTGTGTGTGTGTGTGTGTGTGTGTGTGTGTGTGTGTTTGTTGCAGGAGTGTGTGGATATCGACGAGTGCCTCGATCTCCCTGATGCCTGCGTAGCAAACTCAGTGTGCATCAACACCGTGGTGAGTCTTTGGCATCGCTCCTTAACTCCCAAACGTTCTGTAGGAAACATCTGGGCTGTTCGAGCAAAACAGAAATGTGTGGTTCTCATTTGTTTTCATGAAAATCCATTAGATGGCACTTCTAATGTAGGATTAAGTGAAAAACACCTGCCGTGACTGACGTCTTCTATTCTCCATCTCTGCTGCCAGACTTTCCTGTAATCCTTCTAAGTGGTTCAAGAACATTTTTAGAAATATTTATTTCCTTCTGAATCTTTAAGGTGGGAAAGGCTCTTAACTTAAGGGATGAGTCAGAGTCAGAGTGACAGAGCAGAACCAGTATGGGTTCATTTTATTCTGACATAACTGGGATCTGACCTGGAATCAGTGGTGGTGGTGGAGCAGCTGCCCCTGGTGGACATGAAGCTATAGCAGCTTTGATATTTTCTGTCTCAGGGTTCTTATAAGTGTGGAGGCTGTAAACCTGGTTTCCTTGGCAACCAAACATCAGGCTGCTTCCCCAGAAAGTCGTGTGCTGCGTTGACCTTTAACCCCTGTGACAGTAACGCCCACTGCACCATGGAGAGAAACGGAGAGGTGGCCTGCAGGGTGAGTGTCTCCTTTTCTTTTTTATTATACTCAATAAGGAAATGAAAGTTTGTCTCTGTTTAAATGAAACAAAAAGTCTGATAATCGTCTCAGTGAAGATTCCAGACTGAACACTACTTGACCTTCTGACATTTATTCAACACAGAAACGTTGCTTCAGTCAGATTTTTCTACCTGGAACTGTGTGAGAAAAAAAACTGTTGAAGCTTTTATAGAGTCAAACCCAAACTCTGACCTCATCAGCTGCTCTGGAGCATCTGTTACCATGGTGATCAACATGGCTAAAACAGAACCACATGATATCAAAACGTCAACATAACAGGGAATCAGGCCCCACAAACCAGGTTTATTATTATACTGTTGGAAATATCACACAGGTTATAAATAACACAAACCCTTCTATAATATAAGCACACAATTATATCGCTTAGTGTCTGTTAAAGTGTATAGAAATGTCCACTTCCTGTTAAGATGGAGGCTTTGGTGGGCTTAGCTGATGTAATGATGCTTTGAGTGTGTTTCCAGTGCAACGTGGGCTGGGCCGGGAATGGACACACCTGTGGGGTGGACACGGACATCGACGGTTATCCGGATCGATCCCTGCCTTGCATGGACAATGACAAACACTGCAAACAGGTGAGAGACGCTGTAGCTGGAGCGCCGTCCTCTCGTCCTGGTGGAGTGCTCACAGTTGTGTTTGTTTTCCATCAGGACAACTGTGTGGTGACTCCAAACTCCGGTCAGGAGGATGCTGATAATGACGGGGTCGGAGACCAGTGTGATGAGGATGCAGATGGAGACGGCATTAAAAACGTGGAGGTTAGAAGTCCAATCTAATCTGATGAATGTTGACTCAGCATTCCAGCTGGTTTTTTTTTTTTTTTTTTTTTAACCTCTTTCTCTTTCATTAAAGTTTCATCTGAAGTGTCCTCTGGTGTCCCAGATGTCATGTGATGATGTGATGTCTCTTTCAGGATAACTGCCGTCTGACTCCTAACAAAGACCAGCAGAACTCGGACAGCGACTCGTTTGGAGACTCGTGTGATAACTGCCCCACCGTCCCCAACAGCGATCAGAAGGACACGGACAACAATGGACAGGGAGACGCCTGCGACCAGGACATCGACGGGGATGGTGAGAGGCATCAGAGATTTAAAATGCAGATGTATTTACATCCTTCATTCATGTGAAAGAAATTCACACAGAGATCAGGAATTCTTCTCCAGAGGGACTAATCCCAACCTCTGAATACTGAAGGCCATAATACCACAGAAATCGCAGTGTTTTGTGTTGCCTCCTGCTGTGAGAGAGGATAAACTACAGAAAACTAGTTGTCAGCACATTAAAGTAACACTAAGCAGCTTCCTGCTTCTTGTCCCTACTGGTTGAAAGTGGAATTACAATTGTCATAAACAACCCTGCTGTAGCTAGTGCTAATAATGAGCTAACACTAACATGAGCCAAGTCTTATTAAATAAGCAACACATTAAAAAGATCCACACTGGTGGGCAAAAAATATTATTACTTAAAAGTCCAGTAGCAACAAAGCCAGGCCATCATCAGCCCGTGATTTCATCGCCTCCTTCAGCTTCCTCAAAATAGTGTAGGCTGTGCTGATGTTCAGGTTTTAGATATTTGTTTCACCTCCAAAGACATATGTCTCTGACTTTTACTTCCAGGCTCCATCATGATACCACCAAACTTCTTTTTTCTTCTTCTTGTGTTTTATAATGACGGTCGGCGAACTGAAAAAGCTAACTGCTAGCCGTTTATTAGCTACCAGCACAGCAAATAGCTAACAGCCATACAGCAGGTAAAGATGGCCCCCTATAGGTCACCTACATTCTCCACAAAACTGTTAAGTGCAGTATCTGGCCAGTAGAGGGCAGCAGAGTGGTGTCACATATGAAACTGGTCACATTTCTAACTCAACATTCACTGAGATGACTGTTACAGTTTTACCTTAATATTTAAAAACTATTTAGTGTTGCTTTAAAACTTTAAAGTATTATTTTATTCTAATACAGAAGCTGCCGCATCAATAAATTATCCTGTGTTACAAGTGAAACTCAGTTTTGTTTTGCTGTAGCTTTTGCTTTGTAATAAAAATATAACTTTATTTTTGTAAAAGGTTTTTTTCAGAAGCTAAAAACATTAAAATTTAAAGCAGAAAATGTTCAGTGGTGTGTGTGTGTGTGTGTGTGTGTGTGTGTGTGTGTGTGTGTGTGTGCGTGTGCGTGTGTGTGTGTGTGTGTGTGTGTGTGCGTGTGCGTGTGTGTGTGTGTTTGTGTGTGTGTGTGTGTGTGTGTGTTTAGGCATTCCCAATGTTCTGGATAACTGTCCCAGGGTACCAAACCCAATGCAGACAGATCGAGACCGAGACGGAGTCGGAGACGCCTGTGACAGCTGTCCTGAACTCAGTAACCCCATGCAGGTACGAACAGGGAATCATCCATCTCGTGGATTCAGTTCAGTTTGTTTCTTTACCTTCACCTCACAACAAAACATGTCTTTAAGCTCCACAGGAAAAACAAGTCTCGATCAGAACCGGTCTAGGCTCAAACCGACTGGAACAAAATCAGATTCAGCAGATTGTGAAACACAAAATTAGCCAAAGGGAGTTGCTTTAGTGAAAGTGGAAAGAAAACTCCATGTGAAGTGCAGGATTTCTTCTTTAACCACGCCCGTGTTTCTCTCAGACGGACGTTGACAACGACCTGGTGGGAGACGTCTGTGACACCAACATGGACACGTATGTCTGAAACTCACTCAAACACACACACACACACACACACACTGGGGCCTCCTGCTGAAAGGAGATGCCACAACTGCATCAGAGTCAGTCATCAAGTTTTGGAGTTTTGTCAAATTACATCAGAGTTAAAAAGTCACATTAAACCTCTGCAGGGACGGAGACGGACTCCAGGACACCAGAGACAACTGTCCTGACATCCCCAACAGCTCGCAGCTAGACTCAGACAACGATGGCCTCGGGGACGACTGCGACCACGATGACGACAATGACGGCGTCCTTGATGACTTTGATAACTGCAGACTCATCATCAACCCGAACCAGAAGGACTCAGACGGTAATCATTCAGGCTATCTTAAACCCGACAGGTGAACCAGGGTTCCAGATTAAAGCAACATAAATCTGATCCCAGACCAGCTAAACCAGATCATCAGCAAATAGGAAGTCTGTGATTCTCTGCTGGACTCAACCTGTCTCTGTCTTCAGCTAACGGTGTCGGAGACGTTTGTGAGAACGACTTCGATAACGACGCCGTGATGGATCTGATCGACGTGTGTCCGGAGAGCGCTGAGGTCACGCTGACGGACTTCAGAGCCTATCAGACGGTAATCCTGGACCCCGAGGGCGACGCCCAGATCGACCCCAACTGGGTGGTGCTTAATCAGGTGAAACTTGCTGCTTTCTCTAATTCCTTCACAACTTCCACTCAAAGATGCTGATGCGTTATTTCTCATATCTCATCACGCTGAAGAATCATTAACTAATAGAAGGATTTTGTTTTTTACTGATCACATTCCAGGGCATGGAGATCATCCAGACAATGAACAGTGATCCCGGTTTAGCCGTTGGTATGTAATTTTCCTTATTCTGTGTTAAACACCAGAGCTCTGGTTCTGATACAACTCCATGTGTCTGCAGGCTACACAGCGTTTAACGGCGTGGATTTCGAGGGAACGTTCCACGTCAACACAGTGACGGACGACGACTACGCCGGCTTTATCTTCGGCTACCAGGATTCCTCCAGCTTCTACGTGGTGATGTGGAAACAGACGGAGCAGGCATACTGGCAGTCCATCCCATTCAGAGCCACGGCCCAGCCCGCCCTGCAGCTCAAGGTTCTCTCTCCTGGTTCTGATCCTTCTCCAGTCTGACTTCCTGTTAGGGTTGCAGCTGCAGCACCATCAGATGAATCTGTCCATCATGTGGGAACAGCATTAGAGTGTGGGATTGTAGATAAATGTCCTGGACCTTCAGAACTCTAATTCTCTGGGTTCGGTATCCTCCTGAGTTGAACAGGAAATAAGTAAAGTGTTGAAGCTGAATCATCATCGTTTTTGTTTGTTTGTCCTGCAGGCGGTGAAGTCCAGAACCGGGCCCGGCGAATTTCTGAGGAACGCCCTGTGGCACACTGGAGACACACCTGGAGAGGTGAAGCTGCTCTGGAAGGACCCTCGAAATATTGGCTGGAAGGACAAAACCTCGTATCGCTGGCAGCTCAGCCATCGGCCACAGGTGGGATACATCAGGTACGACCAGAACCAGAACCAGACCAGAACTAGAGAACAGGTGGGTCGCACGCAAACAAGATCTTCAGGTTGGATCCCGTCCACACTTGCAGTTTGCTCCTCACGATCTCTGATGAACCGAGCTTCAATGTGACGTTTTTAACCTGAATGATTGTTGTTCCTCAGTAGAACTATGTCTGCACCCTCAACCGCTGGGAATTCTGGGAAGTTTGTTACAGGTTTTGTTGTGTGACTGAAAGAATTACCTCTTTATCAAAGGAACTGAAGTAAAGTCACCAGGCTTTATGGGTATTGTAGGTCTTTAAACTGAGGTTTTAATCCCAAACCAACTTAATTTTAGTGATTTCATTCTGGAAACAGTATCTAAACTTTATTAATATAGTCACGTGTGAACAAAAACAAACACATCTTTTTTTTTCATGTGAGTGGCTTTTAGTTAACGGTCCTCCTCTCTCTTCACTCATTTGCTGGGGAGGTTCATTCATCAGCTGGAAGATGTCAGAATAAAAAACAAGCTGTTAGATTTCCAAAAGATCAGAGAGGTTCTGGTCAGGCTTCGGATGGATTATCACCCCCTACTGGCCCAGCTTGGGATTTACAGCACATTCATCAAACGACCCCATAATGGAGGCCCGTGTGCCCCCAACTTAACTTTAATGGCCATAATTGGTTTGATTGTTCCACAAAGACTGATATGTCCTGGACCCGACCCCCACCCCCCCCACCCCCAACCACACACACACACACACCTGCCCTCTGGTTAGGAGATGACACGAATCCCGTTAACTTTGTTTATGTATTCCACTTCAAGGTTGTGGATGAATGAGTTCTGCACCAACATCACTGGATGAGTGCAGAACCAAACCTGGACCTGCAGGAGGATCCTGCTAAAACCAGATCCACTGTTAAACATGACAGCAGCTAATACTTTACGTCATTACAGCTCAGCTGTTTTTGACCTTTTAACACAGTTAGGTAAACTATCTGATGCTGTTTTAATAAAACTATTCAATCAGCAGAACTCCCTCTGCAGCTCTATGTAAAATAAATACGTATATAGAACGTAAGACTCTGTAAGGGTCTGCAGGTCCCAGCTAAACTCTGTTGGACCCTGTAGGACGTTGTTGGACCCTGTAGGACTTTTTAGGACTCTGCTGAACCCTGTAGGACTATTGGACCCTGTAGGACTTAGTTGGACCCTATAGGACCCTGTAGTTCTGTACCAGTGATCTAGTTCTGCGGGTCTTCGATGTCCCCACTCAGCCTGCAGATGTCTCTTCTGGTCCTCTGAGGTCCGTTATTCTTCCTTTTCTTTTGACTGCATTCTTTCCTCTCCAGAACTCTTTTGTGGTCCCGGGGCCCACCGGGTCTCCATTGTTCTGGTCTCCATGGCAACCAAAGCCCCAGCAACAAGTGGCCTGGGCAGCCGTTGAAATGCAGATCAGACACAAATACCTGTTGCGGACTAGGAACTCGAGTCAGAATCAGGACTCTTGTGAGCTGGCTTCTGTTAATTACTGCAGCCTAAATGCAGCAGAACCGTTTGGATCAGCTGCTGCTCATCAACAAGGGTGTTCTGAAGGTTCTAGATGGAACAGAGTTCAAAAAGCAGAACATATTCAGTCAGTCGGTAGGAGGTCTGAGAATCCTGATGTTTCAGGAGGAGTTTCTGATTAGTATGAGCTTGTGAACAGAATAATTTAGATTTGTTTACTGGTTTTTCAGCTGTAGGTCGTGTTTTATTCAGTAGAACCGGTTCTGGTTCCTCCCACCATGTGCTTCCAGTCTCTTCCAGCATTGTTTTGTTTTCTGCCTCTGAGTTTTTTGCTGTTCAGTTTTGGTTTAGTTAATTTATCGATTTTGTTCATCAGGGTGAAGCTGTTTGAGGGGATGGACCTGGTGGCCGACTCTGACGTTGTCATCGACACCACGATGAGAGGAGGAAGGCTCGGAGTCTTCTGCTTCTCTCAGGAGAACATCATCTGGTCAAACCTAGGCTACAGGTGTAACGGTACGACACATACACAAACACACACACACATTTGGTGATTTAATTCTGATTCTTTGTCTGTATGTTTGAAATTTTTTGATTGAACTGATTTTATTTCAGACACGGTGCCTGAAGACTTTAAGTCTCATCGTAAACAAGTGGTGATGCACATTCAGGTCTGAGAGCTGCAGATGGACTCTTCAACACACACACACACACACACACACACACACACACACACATCTGCACTTGCCCACGCACACAAAAACATGTGTGCATGTACACGTCCCTGAACTACTACAAAGGTTCTATAAACTTTTACTGTGTACAAGTGTGTGTGTGTGCAAGTATGTGTGTGTGCAAGTATGTGTGTGTGTGTGTGTGTGAGAGAGAGAGAGAGAGAGAGAGAGAGAGAGAGAGAGAGAGAGAGAGAGAGAGAGAGAGAGAGAGAGAGAGAGAGAGAGAGAGAGAGAGAGAGAGAGAGAGAGAGAGAGAGAGAGTGTGTGTGTGTGTGTGTACATGTGTGTAAAGGACTACATTTTCTTGATTTTTGATGCCAGTATGACGTTTGAACTGGTTGTCGTTCAGTTCAACGTTTTACAGAGAAATCAGGAAACAAACATGTTTGTGTTTGATTCAAAACTCAAAAACTTTATTTTAATGTTGTCACAAAAGTCAGAAAAGTGCTAGAGAAATGTAGGAGTAGTTTTTTTAATAAAAGCAAAAATGAGGAGAACATTGACTTAGACAGAAACAACAAAAATGATCAGTTTTAACAATTTTTTTTTGTTGTTTTCTTGTTAAATGTGTTTATGCTGTCTTATCAGACTAAACTTGAGTTAATCGAGCACTTTAAAACCATTTGAACCAGCAATGGTTCTTGCCTTTGTAATTGTTGGGTCATTTTAGACAACTTTGACATAACAGTAATAGTTTTTATGGCTAAAATCAAACATTTTCCTTTACTTTTACCGAAAATTAAAAGATAAATCTGTTTTGTGTCTTTTTAACTGTACAGATCTGTTAAATAAACAGTCATGACTTTTCCTACTCCTCTGGTTTTATTTTACTTTATCTGGTTTAGATATGTTCTGCACAAACGTTTTAAAACAGGGCAACTCATTCGTGGTTTCACTCTTCACACAGGAAGCTGCTCTCCTTGCTGTTCAGTGACACAGACCTGGTTATACACCTGATCCAGACTTTTATTAGATTTAGATCAGGTCCATAAAGACCTGAAAGTCTAGGTTCCAATTCATCCATTCATCCATTTTTGGCTGCTTATCCAGAGTCTTGTTATGGGGGACAGCAGCCTAAGCCGAGAGGCAGAGACTTCCCTCTCTCCAGCCACTTGGACCAGCTCCTCCAGGGAATCCCGAAGCGTTCCCTGGCCAGATGAGAGACATAGTCACTCCGGAGTGTCCTGGGTCTTCCTTTAGGTCTTCTCCCGGTTGGCTGTGCCTGGAAAACCTCACCAGGAGGCATCCAGGAGGCATCCTTACCAGATACTCGAGCCACCTCAACTGACTCCTCTCGATGTGGAGGAGCAGCAGGTCTACTACCCAAAGTTTGTGACCAAAGGTGAGGGTAGGATCGTAGATCAACCAGTAGATAGAGAGCGTTGCCTTCAAACTCGGCTCTCTTTTCACCACGACAGATCGGTACAACGCACGCGTCACTGCAGACACAGCACCAATTCGCCTTTCAATCTCCCGCTCCATCTTCCCCTCACTCGTGAACAAGACCCTGAGATACTTTTTCTCAGGGCTGGGCGATATGGCCTAAAATAAATATTTTATTGGATTTATTGGAGGATTTCTCCTCGATAACGATACATGGACGATAACTACAGGTATGCGCAGAAACAAAAGTTGTCCACTAGAGGGGGCTGTCAGGTGCATTACCTTGAGTCACATTTTTACATGACTCCAGGTGGTACAGCTTCTGAAAGGGACACGAACATTGCCAACCTACACATATCTTTTAATTTTTTTATTATCAAATTTATTGACATGGGAACAATTATCTCGATAAAAGTCAGACATTTCGATAACAATTAGTTTTTTTTTTTTTTTGCCCAGCCCTACTTTAACTCCTCTACTTAGGGCAAGACCTCATCCCTGACCTGGAGAAGGCATTCTAACCTTTTCCAACTCAAGAATATGGTCTCTGATTTAGAGGAGCTGATTCTCATCCCAGCTGCTTCACACTCAACTGCAAACCACTCCAGTGAAAGCTGGAGATAACATTTTGATGAAGCTAACAGGACCCCATCAACTGCAAAAAGCAGAGACCTGATCCTCAGGTCACCAAAACTGAGCCCCTCAACACCTTGGCTGCACCTGGAAACCCCATCCATAAAGGTTATGAACAGAATCAGTGACAAAAGCAGTCTTGGTGGAGTCCAACTCTCACAGGGAACAAGCTCAACTTACTGCAGGCAATGCGGATTAAGCTCTGACACCGGTCATGTAGCACCTAGCAAACCGCATCAGAGGGCCTGGTACTCCATACTCCCACAGCACCCCCCCCCCCACACACACACACACACACACACAAATTCATCCCTTAAAGAAAAATTATTAAAACAAACTAAATACAAGAAAGAATAAAACTAAAGTTGGAAGCTTTAAGCTCATTCTGTAACTTTAATGAAATGAATGAATCAGAAACAGGACCTGAACTGTCGGTCGGTCTGCAGAACCTCAGCTCTGACCTGCAGTGCTGCAGAGGTCGTGACCCCTGGGCCGGGGAGGCCGGGACGAGTGCAATATTGGAGGGGACATGACAACAGTGCACCGCATCCCGGACCTGCCCGACCCCGGGAGGAACCAAACTCACATGCCCTGAAACACACACACACACACACACACACACACACACACACACACACACACACACACACACACACACACACACACACACACACACACACACACACACATTCTAAACATCATAAAATTCAAAACTTTCATTAGATTTTAGAATTATTTTGATTTAAAGTTTTGCTAAATGTCTAAATATATCTTCATAAACACAGAGGCTTAAAAAATCAGTTTACAGATTATTACAGACATCTGAGCCGTGCAGAACCAAACCCAAGCGATCCGATCCTAACCCATTCAGTCAGTCACCACCCAAACCAGAAAACTAAAAACGTTCCACTGAACCTTAAACCTGTTACAGCTCCTTTATTAAATAATTTAAAACTTTTACAAAATGTATTAGGTAATGCTTCTTTTTACAGTTCCCTAATTACTAGGTACTTACATGGTAATTACATAGTAAGTTAAAGTGTATTGTTGTTTCTGAGTTCTTTAACAGTTATTACCATGTAACTCAGGTTCAATTTTAGTTTTTATTTTTATTAATCATTCCCAGTAAATACTGCTTCACACAATAACTATACTTTAATTACAATTATACATATTACACAATAATGCACTTTAACTTACAATGTAATTACCATGTAAGTACTTAGTAATTAGGGGACTGTAAAAAGAAGCGTTACCATATAAGGTAATATTATAACATTTGGTTTAAAGTTTAAAGTTCAGAAAAACTGAGTGAATAACAAACAATTTTTAGCACGTTGTTTTATTTAGTTAAGATTCATGAATTTTCTGTCTTATTAAAACTGTTGTGTTATTTATGAATGACCTCCTTATAAATATTACACACATTCACACGGACAATTTCAAAATTAATTTTGTAAAAATGAAGCTGTGAACTGATTTCTTAATAATAAAATAAAATGAAAATACACTTTGTTTAAAATAAAATCCTACATCTCATTCAGAACATTTATTTTCTAGTTATTTTGGTTTCATCAGTCTGAGAGGATTTTAGAATAATAAATAAAATCTGACTAAAAGTTAAAAGAAAACAGCCTAAATGTTCCAGATCAAACTGAACTTTTAAGGAGACCTGGACAACATTTTTGTTCTGATTGTGGAATATTTTGGTTTAATTTTGAGTCTAAAACGCAAGTCCACTAGTAAAAACTTCAGCGCAGTTTAAAATAACCAACATTTGTTAGAGTTTACCACAACAATCAGATTCTGGTCAGATTGCTAAAAGGATATCTATAAACTCACCCTCATTCCTCCTGTGGCCTCCCTAGGTCTGATCGTGTTCTCCTGCAGGTTCTGGTCTGTGGAGGGCCTCCTTCCATCATTCTGGGTTTTATTTGGCTCTGCCCCACATCCCCCGCCCACCCCTCCTCCCTCTAACTCTAACAAAGACCCTGAGCTGCTCAGCGAGGCGTGGAGGGGCCCTGCTGCACCCCTGAAGGGTTTTAACCTCTTCTCTTCTGGTCTCACTCAATCATGATTTAAACTTGAATTTCTGAGCAGGTGGGCTGAAACAAACTCACCTGTAGAGAAAGAGCAGCAAGTGGAACTTCTCCGGCAGGCAAAAACTCACCTGGAGTACCATCAGCTGCAGGTGGTTGAACAGTAGTGTTCCATTGCTGCCCCCTGCTGGATACGCGAAGTCACTACAGAAAACACCAAGGTTTGTTCCTTATTCTTTAAACCAGAACCTCCATTATTTTTTTTAATCTTCACAACGTTAAGGGATATTTTAACTTTTAAATTAATTTATTTCAAAGATTCTCAAGAAATAAATCTAAATGTTGAAAAACAGGGGAAAAAGTATGTACTTTTCACACAGTAACACGTTTCATATGAAAATGTGATCAAATCTAAAATACAAATACAAATGTTCAGGTTTTATTGGCTGAATATTTTAAAACTAGCAGTTGTCATCCTTTTACACTGAACAAAAATATAAATGCAACACTTTTGTTTTTGCTCCCATTTTTCATGAGGTGAACTCAAACATCTGAAAATTTGTCTACATACACAAAAGACCCATGACTCTCAAATATTATTCTGAAATCTGTCTACATGTGTGTTAGTGAGCACTTTTCCTTTACCAAGATAATCCATCCCACCTCACAGGTGTGGCATATGATTAGACAGCATGAATAATGTACAGGTGTGCCTTAGACTGCCCACAATAAAAGGACACCCAAAAATGTGCACAGTTTTACTTTATGTGGGGTGGGGGCAGAAAACCAGTCAGTATCTTGTGTGGCCACCATTTGCCTCACGCAGGGCAACACATCTCCATCGCATAGAGTTAATCAGGTTGTTGATTGTGGCCTGTGGAATGTTGGTCCACTCCTTTTCAACAGCTGGGTGAAGTTGCTGAATATTGGCAGGAACTGGATACGCCAATCCAGTTTATCCCAAACATGCTTAAAGGGTGACATGTCTGGTGAGTATGCGGGCCATGCAATAACTGGAATGTTTTCAGCTTCCAGCAATTGTGTACAGATCATTGCAATACGGGACCGTGTGTTATCATGCTGCAACATTAGGTGATGGTCGTGGATGAATGGCACATTGATGGGCCTCAGGATCTCGTCATTCATTAAAAATGGCATCAATAAAATGCACCTGTGTTTGTTTTCCATAACATACGCCTGCCCATACCAGTATCCCACGTGTCAAATGTCATTGAATGTGAATGTTTGCCCACTCAAGTCGATTACGACGACAGACTGCAATAAGGTCCAGACCCCAATGAGGATGGCGAGAATGCAGATGAGCTTCCCTGAGACGGTTTCTGACGGTATGTGCAGAAATTCTCTGGTTATGCAAACCAGTTAATGCTGCAGCTGTCCGGGTGGCTGGTCTCAGGCGATCTTGGAAGTGAACATGCTGGATGTGAAGGTCCTTGGCTGGTGTGGTCACATGTGGTCTGCAGTTGTGAGGCCGGTTGGATGTACTGCCAAATTCTCTGAAATATTTGGTGACGGCTTATAGTAGAGAAATGAACTTTATTTTCACGGGCAACAGCTCTGGTAGACATTCCTGCAGTCAGTCTGTTGCACGCTCCCTCAATGGTTGCGACATCTGTGGTGTTGTGGTGTTTGATCAAACTGCACATTTGTGAGTGTCCTTTTATTGTGGGCAGTCTAAGGCACACCTGTACATTATTCATGCCGTCTAATCAGCCCTTTGATATGCCACACCTGGGAGGTGGGATGGATTGTCTTGGGCCCTGTCCACACGTAGCCGGGGATCTGCCAAAAGTAGATATTTTTCAACGTTTTGGCCTGTCATCCACACGAAAACGGAGTTTTCACACCCTCTGTGTGAACCAATGCAAAATCACCTTTGTTAGATGGTAAAAGTAAACCTCAGATCCTCCAGGTTCACCATAAAAATTGGTTATGTGATAATTAAAAACACCTGATTGGTGCAGGTGAGTGGGCAGGTCATCTCCAGTCAACAAGGATGGGTGATGTTATAAATATTAGTAATAAAGTTGTTAATAGTGTTACTAATGAAAACAACTATTAGACATTTCTATTACAAAAAAATGGTAGACTGATCATGTAATTAAAATGTGTACAAAAACCATCTTAAAGAGATGTTTTTATCAGCTCAGAAGCAAATGGTCCATGGACCGGTACCGGTCCTCAGCCCACAGGATGGAGGACCCTGCTTTGGATGGAGAGGTTCTCCTTATTTGCTGTTTTCTCACTGATGAAAACAACTGAAAAGTATTTCTGATTTTAGCTTTGATCTTAAATCTGGATCCTGTTGGGTTTTTATTCTAAGTTTAATGTTTCAGTTTTACTCCATCAGTTAGAAACATGAAGCTCAGCTGATTCCTCCTCATTCAGCAGGCTGGAGGAGTGAGAACCGTCAGATTAATGAAACATGACCTGGAACCCAGAGACGGACAGAGTTCATCTTCCTGGAGGTCTGAAATAAAAATAAATGGAGAAGTGTGTGTGTGTGTGTGTGTGTGTGTGTGTGTGTGTGTGTGTCCGTGTGAGAGAGAGAGAGTGTGTGTGTGTGATTGTGTGTGCGTGTGTGTGCATGTTAGTGTGTGTCCGTGAGAGAGAGAGAGAGAGAGAGAGAGAGAGAGAGAGAGAGAGAGAGAGAGAGAGAGAGAGAGAGAGAGCGAGAGAGAGAGAGAAAGAGAGAGTGTGTGTGTGTGTGTGTGATTGTGTGTGTGTGATTGTGTGTGTGTGTGTGTGTGTGTGTGTGTGTGTGTGTGTGTGTGTGTGTGTGTGTGTGTGTGTGTGTGTGTGTGTGTGTGTGTGTGTGTGTGTGTGTGTGTGTGTGTGTGTGTGTGTGTGTGTGTGAGTGAGTGAGGACAGTTGTCGTGCAGCAGGTGGTCGTTGGGGATTTATTTAGCAACGCTTGAAGCTCCCAGTCAGCTGTAAATGCAGCACGAAGCTCAGACCAGAACCAGGGTGGGACCTCTCAGGCCCTCTTAGTTCTGGACGGATCCGACCTTCACAATTTTAAAGTTATTTTCCTGCTGGTTTTCTTCCAGCGGCCGGAGCTCATGGATGGACTCTGATCCTGAACCAGCTGGAGGTGAGACACTAAAATAAACATGGAATGTTTACACATTAAAAACTTTAGTTTTACACACAAATCCAACATGAGAATTCACACACACAAGCATGCACACGCGCACACACACAGTTCATTAACCCTAACCCTAACCAAAAACCAGTGTACCTACAAAAGTAAATCTGATTATTTCTCAACTAAAACACCAAAAAAAGCAACAGATGATTGTGGCCGTTTTACTTATTTTTGATTTTCAAAATCAGAATCAAAATATTCAAAATCAGTTAGATTTTAAATGTTTCTGTTGCCTTTTATTGACTAAAATTATTAAATATTTATATTTGTCACATTTAGCCGCAGAACATAAAATTTAATAAGAAACACATTTTAATTTGATGTGTAATAATTTTGTTGTCTTTCAGTCAAATTCTAGAAAATCTTCATTATAAATGTGATATTAATAGAGTCGCACTGAACTAAATGCTACAGACACCCAATGTTTTACAGTCTGTTGTTATTCATCATTAGTTACAGCTGAGGGTTTATTTGAGCCTGTAAGATATGTAATAATGGCTGAAAGTAGAATATTTCAGTATCTAAAATGTTTAATTTGAAGATCCGTCCATCCATTTTCTTCCGCTTATCCGGAGTCGGGTCGTGGGAGCAGTAGCCTAAATCGAGAGGCCCAGACTTTCCTCTCCCCAGCCACTTGGGCCAGCTCTTCTGGGGAAATCCCAAGGCGTTCCCTGACCAGGTGAGAGACGTAGTCCCTCCAACGTGTCCTGGGTCTACCTTTAGGTCTCCTCCCAGTTGGACGTGCCCAGAAAACCTCAGGGAGGCATCCAGGAGGCGTCATAATCAGACGCCTGAGCCACCTCAACTGGCTCCTCTCAATGTGGAAGAGCAGTGGATCTACTCTGAGGGTAGGAAGCGTAGATCTACCGGTAAATCGAGAGGTTTGCCTTCTGGCTAAGCTCTCTTTTCACCACGACAGCCCGCCTATCGATCTTGCGCTCCATCTTTCCCTCACTCGTGAACAAGACACCAAGATACTTAAACAACTCCTCTTGGGGCAGGACTTCATTCCTGACCTGGAGAAGGCATTCAATCGTTTTCCTACTCAAGACTATGGTCTCGGATGTGGTGGAGCTGATTCTCATCCCAGCCTCTTCACACTTGGCTGTGAACTGCTCCAGTGAGAACACGTTCTGATGAAGCCAACAGGACCACATTCTCTGCAAAAAGTGTGCAAAACGGATCCCCTCACCACCTTGGCTGCACCTAGAAATCCTGTCCATAAAAGTTATGAACAGAATCAGTGACAAAAGGCAGCCTTGGTGGAGTCCAACTCTCACGGGAAACAAACTCGACTTACTGCCAGCAATACGGACCAAGCTCTGACACAGGTCCTACAGGGACCTAACAGCCCGGATCAGAGGACATGGTACCCCATACACCCGGAGTACCCCCCACAGGGCCCCCCGAGGGACGCGGTGGAACACCATCTCCAAATCCACAAAACACTTGTAGATTGTTGGGCAAACTCCCACGCACCCTCCAGGATCCCCCTAAGAGCATAGAGCTGGTCCAGTGTTCCACGGCCAGGACGAAAACCACATTGATCCTCCTGAATTTGAGGTACGACAGTCCGATGGACCCTTATTTCCAGAACCCTGAATAGACCTTACCAGGGAGGCTCAGGAGTGTGATCCCCCTGTAGTTGGAACACACCCTGCGATCCACCTTTTAAATAGATTTTGATTGAGAGGAAAAGAAAAAATAACATGAAGAACAGATCTATAAAGCTCTGGTGAAAACAAACGCATTAGAGTATAAAGATTCCTTAAGCCTAAGATATAAATAACAGTCATTCCAGACGTGTGTATTTTTAAGTTGTGTGTGTGTGTGTGTGTGTGTGTGTGTGTGTGTGTGTGCGTGCATGCGTGCGTGTGTTAAATTTAGCCTTCACACACAGCCGTTCCAACATGTTAACCCTAAATGACTGAACTGATCAGATCTAAGATCAGCTCATTGCTGATTAAATCGTCTGATGTCTGGAGCAGAAACATCAGAAATGCCACCATTTTACTCCTGTCATGATTCATTTGTTAACATAATGATTTACTGACATCACAATGTCTGATACTTTTCCAGCAGCCCAACTTCCTGTAACCCTTTAACCCTGGAGCATCAGTATTAGTACATTCACCAGCAGCCTGCCATATCCCATACCAAAATGAATGAAAACACCTTAATTGATGGACAAAACCAAGACAGAAGGAAAGGTTTCTGGGTTAAAATTTAAAGAGAGCTCTTTGACAATCCAGGTTGGATCTAAAATCTGGTTTCCTGATGTTCTGTTTTCTCTCTTGATTGGATTAAATTTATTATTCCTAAATGTGGAAATCCTATTTTTATGAGCTGAAAAAATAAAAGTGCAGAAAAAAAACAAGTTTTAATCAATAAGATTTCATCCACACGCCTAAAACGAGACACAATGTTGAAACTCATCTGAAGTAAAACACTGAAACAAATCTTCATCTGATGAATCAAACGTTCAAAATCAAACAAACTTTTTTAATTTAATACAGTTAGTTTTGAATCTTTTTTCTGTTAGAAGTCTGAAGGTTGAACCAATCGTTGTGGGGAATCACTCTAAGCCCCGCCCCTCGCTGCTGATGTTTGTTCTACAGATAAAAAATCAAAACAGGCAAAAGTCCAACTGTGAATGACACAGAACCTTTAAAGTCCAGGGGTCTTATTTATAAAACATTGTGTAAAATCCTTACTAAAACTGTACTTGAGCTCAGCAAAAAAGATTTACTTACGCCTAGTAGGTTTGTGACCTATAAAACATGGAGTACACACAGCTGCACACAATCTCTGCTTTATAAATCACTAACTACCAAGAAATGTGCTCCGGTGTTTTAGGATCACATCCCGGGGTCTTGTTCTGTGTGTGCATGAAGCGGTACAAGTGGTAATGCTGCTGGAATTCACAATGTTATCCTTCTCAGCAGCAGCACTGCAGGTGCCCTCCATGTCCAAAATGTGCGTAAGCCAGGTCCTTAGTCAACTTAAAGTTGCGCACATTTTTCCGCTACGTTTTCTTTTATAAATCCCAAAGTTTGCATAGAAAGTTGCTTGCATAGATTTCTGACCCCGTTTTGCGTGTAAGCAAGCTTGATAAATGAGGTCCCAGCACAGTTTCAGCATCATGCTGCAGCTGGAAGATCAGACTGATGGTAAATGAGTCATGATTTCAGATAGCTTGTCCTCTCAGTGCTTCAGATCTCCAGGAACGTTCTCCTGGGAAAGCTTCCTGAAGCTGAAGTTCCTCATACATGTGGATCATCTATTCGGCTGGAAATTGGAGACGTTCCTGCTTCTAACAGCTGATCAGAGGCAGCTAATGGCCTCAGATGAATCTAATTCTTCAGAAATCAAACTTCTATTGTGATGACTTCAAACCTGCTGCAGTAAATTCAGATAAAACCAGACTGACAGTGAATGATGACCTCAGATAAACGGTTCTGATGGACCACAGAACACTACTTCCACTCCATCTGTGATTCATACTGATGAACAGCCGGGGAGGAGGCAGGAAGCATCATCTGTCTCAGAATTTTCTATGACAGATAGGAGTAGCTCATTAACACCTGGAGGGGAGGGGGAGGGGCTTCACACTCAGGTGAGTGTAACATTGTGTGTGTGTGTTTTTTCCAGAGTTCTCTCCTCTCAACCTGTCGTCGGCCTGCTGATGGAGTCACAGGCAGTGTTAAGAGTTGTCCTGTTACCATGGAAACCCTGCATCCACCTGACTTTGCTACTGGTCCAGCTGAGTCTACCTGAAGGTACACACACACAACTTCCTGATTCTAGGAATTTTACTGTGCCTTCACAGGAAGTGAGACGTCAGAATTGAGAAAACTAAGAAAGCAGATTTGAACCAGCAACCTTCCCTCTGAGGGTTGTAGCGTTATCAAGATCCTATTGTCTGCCCTTAACAGCTGCCCCTTCACACAGTAACATCGACAAGGTCGGACGCTTGGTTCAGTATGTTTACATTCCAGGAGAAGAGACAGAAGAAGAGAAGAAGAACGCTTTCCATTGATTAATCAAAGTACTTTATTTGTGATAAAGCTAATCAGAGCATATGTTGATCATTAATAATCAGGTGAATGATCTGTGAAATAAAGATGTCATGAGTTATGTGTTTAATGAATAAACAGGACTGCTCTGATTAGCTACAGATGTCTCAGGAGCTGGAATATGGATTCTTCAAAGTAAAAGCCTTTATCCAAAGAGCATGTTCTTTTATTTTGAAGGAGAATTTCTTTAATCAGCAACTCAAGTTAAATCAAACCTTTTTTCCCCTCCTCAGTCAGAGCTTCCTGCCACATTCTGAGGTGCAACTCAGAGTTTGTGGCAGCGACCTTTGACCTGAGCAGTGGCGGCGGTTCAGCTGTCAGCAGGGAGGTGGTGAACGCCGGCTACTGCAGCGCTCTGCGCACCTATGCCATATGCACCAAGAAGATGGCCCGGCCATGTCGAGGTGACCTGGCATATCACTCTGCAGTTCAGGGCATCGAGGATCTGCTGATCCAGCATCACTGCCCCAGGGTGGGGCCCACGGCCCAGCCACGGCCTCTGCCTCAGGGCACACTGTCAGCAGACACCTGCTTGTACGAGAAGAGCTTCTACAGCCGAGAGGGCCGGTTGCCAGAGTTCCTGCACTGCAGCGTGTTTGGAGACCTGCACATTAGAACTTTCGACAACGACTTCCACACCTGTGCTGTGCAGGGGGCGTGGCCTCTCATAGATAATGAGTACCTGTACATACAGGCCACCACCTCACCAGCAAGAGGGGAGGCGTACCCCACAGTTCTGACCAAGGTGAGCCAAAGTTATCATTAAAAAATGGGTTTTCAGTTAACCACACCTTTAAATGCTGTGCATTTTACCCCATTCAGCCATTGTATTAAAGTACAGAAATATAATATTACTTGCCAAAAAAATGGAGCATAGTTGTTGCATGCACGATCAGACCATGCCCATTGGGCAAAAAATGCAGAATTAACATCCGAGCACAAATGCATAAAGGACACAACTAATGATAAAGTTCAGATAATCAAAATGGCTGAACATTTTTCACTTGAGGCTGAGGCCTTCCATGGAGCTAGCTGCTAATGCTAACTCTGAATTTGTTTCTTGTGTGTGAAGCTAAAACCTCTTTAAAAGCGTTTTTCATGAGGAAACAAGAATGTAACATAGTCATTGGCTCCAAAAAGTAGATTTTGCATGATATAGGACCCTTTTAAGTCCTGATCTGGTCCAAAAATTCTGATCCAGTTCAGGAGATACTCCTATAAGCATTTGAAGCATCTAGATCCAAAGTTCTAACACTATTTTGGTTTCTAAAAAATAACCAACAGAATTCTGATCCTGCGTGATGATCAACCACCACCACGGAAAGCACTGATGTTTGTTGATCATTGGTTTTGTTTCTTGTCAGATCACTGTCATCTTTAAGAACTGGCGCCAGTGTATCGATCAGCAGCTGTACCAGGCGGAGTTGGACAACGTTCCTGCTGCGTTCGCTGACGGGTCGGTGTGGAGTGGCGAGCGGCGGGGTCACCGCAGCCTGACGGTTCGGACCGAAAGTCCAGGCCGTCACACAGAGATTCGAGCGGTTCACATCGGCACGCTGGTGGTGGTGCGTCAGAGTGGACGCTCTCTCAGCCTCTCAATCCGCTCACCGCGGGAAATCGTGGATGCTTTTGGACCCGATCATGACCTGCAGCTGTGCATGTGGGGATGCCCCGCCTCTCAGAAGCTCAACACACTCCGCCCCCCTCTACTGAACTCTTTGGCACCTGCTGCTGTCAGTGCTGAAGACCACTGTGCATTGCTGCTTCCTGCCCAAGATGTTTACTATCAGGCATGCGTGTTTGACCTGATCACCAGCGGAGACCTGAACTCCAGTATGGCCGCCGTCAGCGCGCTTCAGGACGCCAGAAACATGATCTCCAACAAGGAGAGGGTTCACCTGCTTCCTGCCTCTCATGCAGGAAATACAAATCCATGTGTGATGCTGCTCCTGCTGCTTGGCATGCTGGGAGTTGTGGGCGGGGCCTAGACAGAGCCCACGGCCTGCTGAGAAGGTGATGAGGTTCTAGGAGCTGCTGAGACAGACAGCGTATGGTTTTCTGAGCTGCAGGTTCTGGTTCAGAAAATCTCAATGACTCACTGTGTCGCCAACTCTCCGTCATCATTTGATCTTCCGACGGAAGAAAGTCAAAAATATTTTAGATTAAATTAGCTGTGAAACGGTGCGAAACAGGGCCGAACAAACCAATTCAGTAATCTTTAGTTTTGTGTTTCCCACGGGTGAAGAGATCAGGTAGACCTGCTCTAGGTGTGTTACGGTTAACCCGGTGGAAGGAGTAACACTTGGTGGTTCGTCTGCCTGAGCTCAAATAAAATCTGTGTCATGTTGAATCAGAATTCATACAAAATGTATCCGTCCTCACTTAGATGCTGCAGTTCCTCACTAAGGTGCTTCAGAGAATCATTGGGTCAGGTTCTAACTGGTTTGCTGGTTGAGACTGGATCCAACTGGTTCTAATTGGATCTAGCTAGTTATGACTCGGTCTAACTGGTTCTAGGTGGTGTTAACTAGGGCATGCAGACTTTAGCTAGGAGGTGTGTTGGCCTGGGAATTTACTTGCTTTTTGACCTCGCGCTGACGCAGGCAGCAGGCTGCATCTTGATCACGTACTTGCTGCTGCACTACATGTAATGTTGGAGTTTTACACTAGGGGACAGAGTAGAGAACTCAGACCAGATAAAATCTCGGGCTTATAGGGTACAACCAAAACAAACATGGTGTCAATACATTGTAATAAATTGTAGGCCAGAATAAGTCAAAAGCAAAAGTTCATCACCTGCCTTAAAAACTTGAGTCATGTCAGTTTAAATGAACACTGAACAAAGCAAAAACTAAGGACAACACGACCGCCCACAATAAATGGGCATAAACACCTCAAATTAGAACAAAATAACTAAGAAAATGACTACCCACAATGCACCTCACCCAATGCAGCTTTCACAGTGGGCAGGGGCACTTTTTAATCTATAAATTGCAGTTTTAAGTTGACTGAATGCACGAGAATGAGGAAAATATAATCATCTGTTGAAAAAATCAAGCAATTTTAAGTTTTCATTATCAAAACACACAAAATTGAGTTCAACAATTAAAACTTATCAGGGAGACTTAGGTGAAATAGGAAAAATAAATTGAAACTACTTTTTGAGACTGTCTTTTTTTACAGTGTAGAAGAGATCAGAAAGTGGTTAATTTTGAGATCCTGACAGAAAATAGGACAGCAGCAGTACAGATAGTATGTAATACCTCTAAACCAGGGGTGAAGTGACAACTCCTCCTTTTGGTTACTCACATATTACATGTTTGCAAATGTATCACACTGTAATTTTACAGGACACGCACAAACGACTCTAACATTTGCAAACTACGCTAGTCGCCCATTATAAACACGTACGCGTAATTAAAAGCAAGTGTATTTAGGCCCTTACTGGTGACTTTAGTCTCAGCTTCCTTTGACAAGTGTAATGTCCAACAGTGGTCAGTTTTTAGGTACAGTTTGACCATTCAACATCTGGTCAAAAGGGAGACACGAGACTGCATGTGTCCCCTCTAAATCAGCCTGCCTTCATCACACCAGCTGGAGCTCAGAGCCTCCCTGCAGCTTTAAACACAGATAACGAAATGTCAACAATAACATTCTCTCCTCAAGGTCCAATCTTTCAGGACTCTTCATGCCTCCATTTAAGTGAACACTCGCAGCCCGGATTTCCTAAATCAGATGTGAACTTCTACAGCTTATGAGCTAGATAATTATTAAATAAACGTTTGTTCATTGCTACTTATAGTAATTATAATATAATGAAATGCTTTCATTAGTCTGTGCTCAATGATTAAAGTTTGAAGTTCTACGGACCTCGGTACCTGGAAGTCCGAGGACTTCGACATTCCGGCTCTATCACGAGGGTCTTCGAGTGGGTATGCAGACATGACAGATAGCGTGTGATGTGTTTTGATAATAATCAACTTCATAGCTTAACGCAAACCATATTCTTTTACATCCAGAACTCAGCTCTCCTAGATACGGAGGTTCTGACTAGCATTGCATTCACACATAGGTTCATACATCACATTTAGTTCCATCCATCACAGTAAATGCTTAGTTAACTTGTCATGTTTTAATTGTTGGTAAAATAAATTCTTACTTTTATAAACCTGACTGTTTTCTGAATCAAAACAAAGTGTGTACAATCCCCTAATTAACAAAGAATCCTAGAATCATCTGATAAACACAGTAAAGACCAAGCAGGGTTATATTCAATATTTAGATAGAGTATCACAGCTTATTGGTCATAAGTGGAGGTAATACATGTTGAGCTCCTAAAGCACTCAATTTACCAAACCCTACACAAGTTTCTCCTTAGTTCTGAGCTGGTTCCTCACCCTTCACATTATCACTGAGACTCCACCAGAGATGTTGTAACTGATTTGATGGATGTTTTGGGTCTCATTCGGCCTCTCACTGTTCGAATGAACCCTCGATTCTACAGAACAAGCCTTTCCTCTAGCAGGAAAACTTACTATCAGCAGGGCATCAAATAATTTCCCCCTGACTGTAAGAGTGGGATTAAGGGTCGTTGAGGCCTCTAAGGTTACGTCATATCCTTTGATGGAACATTTCCCAATTGCTGCATCCTACCATGTGGGCTAATGTGATGTAATAATTTTGCAAGAGCCCAGAGAGAGTTGGTTCTTTGCTGATTCACTGTATCAGGCCTGTGTTATGTGATGTGAGCTCACCTCATTAGCTAACCTGAGGAAAGCAGCGGAGGAAATATTTGTCTTTTTGAATATATTAACAGGATATGTCCACAGTTATTAAACAGGACTTTTATTTTCTGTGTTCAAAGTTCTTTTGAAAAAATTGTAATAAAAACAACTTAAGATTTCAGATTCAGTTCAGACTCGTCTGTTTTTGAGCTGCTCAGTCAAGGTATTCACCCTACTTTCCTCCCGCAAAAGACCAAGTAGTTCAAAAGTACAAAGACAAATAACCTGAAAGAAATTTTTATTTTCCATCCATCTATTTTCATCCGCTTATCCAAGGCATGGGTCGCAGAGGCAGCAGCATCGACATAAATATACTGGAAATCTCCTTTCCATAGGCTCCAATAACACGTTTTTGAGGCCAAATGGGAGGTGGCCACCACCGCCATTTTGACCGTGTCACAGGTTCCATCAAGCCCAGACAATTCCACAAAAGGGAAGAGAGGAGGAGCTGAGGGTGGGGCTGTAAGGCTGGGATCAACTGACGACACCCGGTCGAACTAGCTACAAGCTAACCTGAAGCTAACCCTGGCTAACCCAAAGCTAATGCGGAGGTGGGAGCTAAGCTAATGGAGGTAGCAGCCTAGCTACAACCGGAGTTTGTGCACAACACCAGAGCTTCTGAGTCAGAGATACGCCGGGCTGACCGCTGGGTAAAACCGGGTGGAACACAGAGGTCTCCGAGAGCTCCACAAGCTGGCAGCTGCACAGCAGACAAGTGCAGCTGCGATCTGAGATGCGCAGAGCTGCTGCTGGGGAGAACCGGGTGGAAAGGTTTCCATCCCAGAGCTCCACAAGCCAGCAGCCCGGTGCATCAAACAGAAGCCGCGATCAGACAGAGATATGCCGAGCTGCAGGGAGAAAAAGCCGGCATTCCGCACAGCAAACAGAAGCCGTGAAGAAACGGGTGGAAAACATCGGTCTCCCGAGAGCTCCACAAGCCGATAGTCGGAACCCAGCTCCACCAACATGTTATATTTCAACCCATTTTCTAAAGTGCAGCATTATGTTAAATGCACTGGGTTTTACCCTATTACATTTAAATTTCATGGTTAACAGTACATGTTAAAATCTAAGCTCAGCTCGGCAGTGACCTAAAATACATAAATATAATTTTACTTACTGAAAAAAATGAAGTGGAGACTCCTTGGACGCTCTATTAGTGCAATTAATGCCACAGCAAGTCATTTTGTCCAACAATTGCACAAATAATATCCAAAAAAGAATACACAAACACAGAGACTCAAAATGCCGGAGCAGTTTCCAAGCCAGACCTAGGCTCTACTGAGGCCTTTCCACGGAGCTAGCTCTGTGGTCACGTGGGTCTGATGCTCATTAATTATACAGAATTTTAGGCTTTCAATACACTTAAACAGAAGAGTGAGAAATCAATTCACCCCCCCCCCCCCCCCCCCCCCCTCAGAGTTGGCATGAGTGTAAACTAGATAATTTAAACCAAAAACATGTTTTGGTACCAGGCTGTAAACATGTTTATTTCTGCTGTGAAATTGGTATTTTTAACATGGGAGTCAACGAGGATTTGCTCGCTTCTGATACCAGCCCCCAGCGGATGAGGGTGGAACTGCAAGGGTGGTACTTCCGGTTTGACTCAATTTTAGAGCTCCATTGTGGGGGCTTGGGCAGCAGCCTAAACAAAGAGGCCTAGACTTCCCTCTTCCCAGCTACTTGGGCCAACCATAAGCTTCTCCGAAGATATCCTAAAGTGTTCCCTGGCCAGCCGAGAAACATAATACAGTGACGTGTCTAGAAATATTTTGGGGTGGCCAGGAAGGGGCACGTATTTGGACAAGAGTGGCACATGTAAACGACTCATAGACTCAAGAGTGCTCAAGCACTCTTTCCAGCCTTCAATTCAGCAGTTTCTCCCCTCAGTTCCTCTCATCTCCCCTCAGCATCTCCTCTCAGTTCAGCGTCTTTCTTGGCTCAGTTTCTCAGCTCTCAGTACCCCCCCCCCCCCCCCCCCAACAGCTCAGCTCGTCACACCCTCTTCAGCTCTCCTCAGCTAAACTTGGAGCTGGTGTCCCAATAAGCTGATGCACTGCAGCTGTGAATGTCAGCAGCAGCAGCAGTGATAGAGGCTGTCCATGGGATTTCATTGACAGCACCCTCCTGTGGCGGAGCTCGACTGGGTCCTGATGAGCACACCTCCCAGGAATAATAGGGAGACAATGGTTAACCTGCCAGTGGCAGGCTGCCACTAATGAAGGAGGCTGTAACAGCTACTATAAACCAAAATAAAGTCAAAGCACAAAAACCAATTGTGCACTTTTATTAATAATTATCTAGGACATTTTTCCATGAATTAAAGGTATAGTGGAGGATGTTTCTTAATTTCAGGAAAGAACTGCCCACTCCTCGTTTTGGAGAAAAAAAAAAGTGCATGAGAAAGAATGTCCAGTTATTCTCGTTACAAGTAGCTGCCGGCCTTGCAGCCAACTTCTTCTTCTGGCGGTCATCTGAAATGAATTTCTCCAAATAGAATGCTGAACTTTAGCTTACCTGTCGTGCAAAAACCGGCGACAAATAACCTTCGCTTTGCGCATGTGCAGGAAGTGAAAACCACCTGGCAATGTATGACGACGTCCTTGCGTGAATGGTTCACCAAAATGATTAACAGTTAAGCGGACCAATGGTCAGATGATCCACCTGAAAAAAAATATCCTTAGCTATACCTTTAATGCAGACATTTATTCAAATAAAATTGGGACTTTCTCTGGCACTGTAAAGTCAGGATTCTTTTAGAAAAGAGAGGAAGTTGCACTTTGGATGTAGTAGACATCACTTCCAGGCATTTTATATAATTTTAACTTCTCTCTAAATTGTAATTATTTAAATATTTTTCAACTAACAACAGAAATAAGTGAGTTTTAAAACCTAAAAAATATCAGAAATGACATTTCTGGCCTGGTTTGTTGTTTGGTTTGAACCCAACCCTGCAAACAGTCAACGTCACGTGGACGTGCAGATCATGTCGGTTTGTCAGTCCAGACCACATCTGTAGGACGTCCAAGCTAGATCTTTGCACAGTGGGAATAGTCTCATTGTCTGAAATTCAGAAATGTTTTAGAGCATGAACCAAGCTCAGTTCAATGCTGAAAATACTAAAACATTAAAAAAAATAATAAACGTTGAAATGTTATCTTACTTTTTATTATTTATATGTTTTAGATCTAGTGTTTATGTGGATTATATGTTCTAGATGTTTTACTGTCACGTTTGGACACTTGAAACATCCCTCCAACGTGTCAATTTTATTTTTATAATTTAATTTTCTGACTGACAAAAGCTGATCATTGTGTTTCTGGAGTATCTTTATGTTTTATTTCATCGTCGGCTGCTGATGATCCCTGACTCAGACTGTGACGAATCAGGCAGGGTTCCATGGGGCGGATGTCGGGTAGCTTCCACCGTATGGATGAACCAGAACCAGAACCTGTGGAGTCTCAGGTAAAGCTCTTGGAGTGTTGACCTCTGACCTCTGTGTGAGCCCATTGGGACGTCTGATCAGCAGCTATCCTCCATTTAATCTTCCTTTGTTTTATGATAAACTCACAAGTAGCATTGGCCTTTGACCCATCCCAACAGCTGCTTGTTTAAGGTTGTTGCTGATGTTTGTGCTCCTTTTGTTAACACGTAGCTGTTTGCTCCAGAGAAATCCCGCTGCCGCAGGTGAGCTCAGATTGGTGATGCTAATAAATCTGATCAGCAGATATTGCAAACAGAAGAACCAGCTGTTTAGAACTTACCTTTAGCTAAAGTGTTAAACCCAATTTTACCTAGTGGTTGATCCTGATCTAAGCCCCGCCCCTTGTGAGCTACTATAACTTGCACACTTCCTGGGATGAGGTGAATTTGAGGAATTTTTGCTGTAACGTCTTTTACAGTCTGACGTTTTTACTACTTTATCAGCGGTGGTTTTGGGAAAAGGTTCAAGGTGAGCTGTAGGTAAATTACTAAAAGGAGTTCAGTCGGTGGAGGCGGAGTTTTAGCTCAGGCGGGTGGGCCTTTGAGCGTGACGGGACCACACACCTGATCAGGTAAGGAAACATGATCAAACATCTGCACAACTGTCAATCAAGTCTGAAAATCATTGTGGTTCCACTTTAGTCCAACCGGAATCATCTGCTTCACTTCCAACACAAACATTGTTTTACTATCTGATGTTATTTCATATGCTATGTTGTTTTAAACAAATTTTTATCATTTCATTTATCTTTCTGTGCTTATCTAACCTGACAAAGTTCATGTTAGTTCTTCTGCATCTCCAGGCTCATTTTAAGAGTCATGATTTCCCTTTCTATGAACTCTTTTGGCCTTTTTCTGATGTAATTGGTCTCCAAATCAGCTGATTGGTCTCCTTTAGCTGTTCTGCCCTCAGACGTATTTTTCCGTCTCACTGATTTTTCTCTGCCTGTGGTCATCTTGCATCACTGTTGAACTTTTATGGATGGTAATTAAATAATAGATAATAATAGATGTCTGTCTGTCTGTTGTAATGCATCTCTTTGTGTTTTACTGTGCTTGTGTTACATCGGGCTGTTTCACACACTGTTTTAGTCGCAGGAGTTTAAAAATCAGATGCAAAATTAAATCTGCTCCGACTCTGAACCTGCAGTTAGCTTCAGGCGAGGCGTGTTGAGATTTGCCCCTCCACATGGAGCTGCTGTATGCAAATCCACCAGGTGCGTTCCAGCTCAAAGTGGGCAGGATGAGAGTTCCTGCTGTCTGATTCGTTTTCCCTGCTGAAGATGGAATAAAATGAAGACCCTCCCGCGTCAAACACTTTCATCATCATTGTGTTGCTCATATGAAGCTGACATCATGTTCTGGTTTTTCTCACATTTAACTAAAAGCAAAAGTTATAATAAAAGGTAATGAATCATCTGCTACTGGTTTTAGATTAAGCTCCTAAAGAGGAAGTCGGCTTTTTGCACCTCAGTATTTTACTGTTTAATGTCTGTGAGGTCCTAACTGGGATTTACTGGAGGAAATAAACATTTCACACCAAAATAAAAGCCTGGGTCTCTGGAGAACACAGAGACACGAACCGGGTCAGGCAGCAAGAAAAGCTGATAAAGTCCAAGTCTAGATCAGAACCTAGAG